AATATATAATATAATACATATATATATACACACACACGTATATATATATATATATATATATGTATGTATATTATATATATATATAAATATACATATATATATAATGCTAGTAATATACAAGGAGCTCTGATAATCTTAATTTGAAAAAACAATGCAACAGGCAATCAATGAAGGAAAAATACTCTCACCCAAATATCCAACTATTTTGCAGAAAACCTCTCGAAAAACGAACATGCAAATCCAGAATATATGTACACATTCCTAAATAAAACATACCGTCCTCCCACGACTCGTTCATTAGACCCACTGTTTTCCGAGCTGCTGAAAAATCCCGAAAACATTTTGGATATTTTGGCGGCATTTGTGGAAGCAGGCGATCTCACCGCCTCCATATTGGTACTTTGAACATAATCGATCACACCATCAGGGACGGCTATGTCACTGTTGCATGTAGACGGTAGAACACAGTTAGGCTTTCGAGTGTTCAATAGTTTATGTGTCTAATTGATACGTTTACCGTAGATGGAAGGGAAGGTTAAGATCTTTGAATGTCCGATTTTGTATTTGATACGTTTGCATACTAGATTGATCGTGCTATATAATACGGGCATATACACGTGGGACGACTATATATTCTGATCTTGGATATAGTTGGTTACACCATCGACGACGGCGATGTCACATTGTCAAGTTTATGTACAAAATAATATGTTTATCCCCTTGACAAGTATACATATGCATCAGTAGGCGGGTATATTAATGTGGCAAGGGTTGCCACAAGGGCGAAGAAGAATGAACCACAAAATACGAATACTCAAATCATACCTAGATAGTAGACTATACAGGACATCAGTGCCGAGCTTGCACAGGCGACACTCTCTCTCGTTCTGCACAGGTGGCTGTAACTGTATCCGAGTCCGTGCCTGTGCCTGTGTGCCTGTACGTGTCTGTGCGAATATCTGATCGAATTCAGCTGGCTGTTCGTGCTCCACCTCCTCGTCACACTCTCTGGGGTCATAGTACTTGTTGGCGGAGGCACTGCCACTGCCAATAGAGGCGTTCCAATCCCAATCGGACACAGTCTCTGTGTTCATCCGCATATTCGCACCCATGCCCCCACTCCTCCCATGATCCTCCCCAGTGCTCTGCCTCAGGCCGCCACTCGAGTCCAACGGCACACCTCGCTTGTGTGTATCGGCGCTATGTAGGCGTGCGTGGGTGTGCAGGAAGTCCTGTACATGGTACACGATACAGCTGTTCACCTCTCCGGTGGTACGCAGAACATCGCGCAGACGTCCCGTGACGCTCTCGCTGATGACCACCAGCGCATACTCGCGCGTAGCAAAGTCACTCATGGGCGACAGCTGAGAGGCGATCATCTGCCCTATGAGATCGTAGGCGGTTTGCTGTGTAAAGTGTGAGGATATATTCGTAAATAGCCAGGCTTGCGTACGATACTACTTTCGGATGGTGAATGTTTGGTAAAATGCGTAGTTGATGACCTACGTTTCAAAACTAATATATACAGCAAGGCCACGGCGCTAAGAGGGTATAATTTATGTATTTGCGACCTGTCAAGAAATTAACGACATGAATGTTGTGAGACGTACTTGGAAGCTACAGATGTACACGCATCCACCAACTTCAGATGTATACATATATGTACATATCAGAGTTATCACATTTTTTTGTAGCACCCGCACACATACACACGCAGACCATCTATATGCGACCATAACTTGGCACTCTTGGTAAAACAGTGACAGACAATCCCTATTTGAGAATACATATTTATTCATGCATTCACTGACCATATGTCTTCATACCCTGCTCGCATGTGAAGCCTAGAAAGTTATACTCCCTGACTGGCTGGGACAGGGCAGATTGCTAAGCGATGTAACTGTGTATATATAGAACTATGTCAATAAATAGAAATACTAACAGACATAGAAATATACTAATACAAGTATCTATACTGCCTACGTTGTGAGGGCATACTTTGATATTCTTGGGACAGGCTACGCATGATACTTAACGACAATATAACACCGCGCAATTGTGTATAGACAACTATACTGATATTTACTTCTATATAAAAAATATACATAGACATATACACTTAGGTATTTGTTTTCATTCAGGAACTTACCTTAATTTTCTTGGACAAATTATGCACGTTTGTTAGCGACAGTGCAACATCGACGGCTTCCGAGAACACAAAGTGAACGTTTTGGCAGATACGTTTGTAGCGCATTTCCGACTCGTCTCGTCGCGATAGCACTGTCAACAATGAAGCCATATACTTGTTAGTATAGAACAGACAGTAAACGATGAGGTGCAGGGATATGCGTACAATTGATACCGTGTACGGATGCGTCCGTATACCAAGTGATACTATGTGGTGTATGAATGGCATTGTGCATATAAGATTGTAGCGCTTTTGCTACTCGTCTCATCGCCACAATACTGTATCAACAATGAAGGTACACATTTGTATGTATAGAATAAAAAGTACAATATAGAATGGGCATGTGTACAATTGATATCAAGTGATACTGTGATTGTGCAGACAGATTGCATCGCATTTGCGACACATCCCCTCCGCGACAGTGCTGTTCGCCAGCGGTTATCCACATATACACTTACAATAAATAAACACTCGTAGCCCACACCGATAACTGTTGTTCAATTGGCTTGAGTATGTATTGTTGCTTCTGTTACTTTGAAATAACAGACACATCCATCTCTTACAACTCACCTCGATCACTCTTAGTCGAGTCGGCAGGTATCTCCAGCGGCTTGGTGTCCGATATCCACACCGTCACTTCGAAGGCCGTGCGTATGACATGCAAGAGGCCTTCATTTGAAGCCATTGAGCTCTGCATAATACTTTTGTAGTACGTTATCGCTTCCAACACTATACTTTGGCGCACAAGTACGAGATTCTGGGCCTGTAGGTCAGGTTTAAGTGGTAGGTAGAGCAATGACATCGGTTTCAAGTTGCAGTGGACAGAGATAGTACTATGATGTGAATTTCTGACTATTTGTAAGAGTGTGAATTTCTGCAGAGCGCTGTTTGATACATTTGTAGTACGTTATCGCCTCAAATATTATGCTCTGGCCCACAAAAACAGATTCTGGGCTTGTAGGTAGTATCAACAGCCGTAGGTTCCAGTACCGAGTGTTAAAGGCAGGTAAAGAGTATGAAAGTGTGCTTCGTCTGAAGCTATTAGGCGGTGTATGATACCTCTATAATACGTTGTCGCCTCCAGTACTATGATCTGACGCACAAAATATTGGGGTTGGGTTAGTGGGACAGGTATATGCGATAGGCATAGCAGTAGCCACAAAAGGTGATATGACGCGATAAGGTCATGTCACGTGTCGGTGATTACTAGATATTTGGTGTGGGATTCTGTCTAACCTATTGAACGTAGTAGTCTGTTCCACCATGCCGTGTTCTCGACGTGACGCGATAGTTCACGCAGCCCGATCTCAGCCACGATAGCGTCGAACGAGCTATACATGATCGCCTAGTGCGGTAATGGACAAATAGCCAGGAATAACACGCAAGGAAGAACACGCACACTCTTGTATACACACAAATACATACCTGTTCCACCATGCTGTGTTCTCGACAGATCAGTTCCCGCCGACCCATCTCAGCCACAATGGCGTCGTACGAGCCGTACATGCCTTCCTGTAGTGTGGCAATAGCCAATAATCGAAGAGTGTCGACGGCTTCCTCCGCCATTTGCATGCTATCGTCGTATGTGTACCCCGGTGTGTCTCCGCCCATGGTGTCCAGGCTGACCTCACCATCGCTTATCTTGACCCAAATGCTCTCGCAGATCACCGAGATCGCTCCGTTGTTTACCTGGAGTGGGTGGCCGTGTAATAATGTACAGGTTTAGTATATATATATATATATCTATATATATATATATATATATATCTATATATATATCTATATATATATCTATATATATAAATATAAATATATATATATATATGCTTTTTTCAAATCATACGGAAAACATTAACTAAAACTATGCGTAAGGGATACGTGACTCTGACGCCCTGCCGCCACTTTCAAGGGTATTGCAGAAACTATTCAGAAGTTTCATGGAAAAGGCTGATAGTATACAACATTCTTGATTTTTTTGCAGCGAACCAGAAATAAACAAGAAAGAGACATTCTGTTGCCACTATGTTCTTCCCCAAAAACATATTCTGGCGATATGTTGTCACTTTCATTTGTGACACAGTATTCAATCACTGAGAACCAGTATTCCGCCACTATCTTTCCGTATAATTGAAATTTTGTACAAGTATAGTGTTACCTGTTCGTTGACAAAAAAACGTGTCATAGTAATGTTACATAATA